GGGGGGGGGCTGGAGAGATGGCTCAGAGGTTAAGAGCACTGGCTGCTCTTTTTTTTATTGTTTATTATTATTAGTTACATTTTATTAACTCTGTATCCCAGCTGTATCCCACTCCCTTATTCCCTCCCAATCCCACCCTCCCTCCCTCAGCTTCTCCCTGCCCCTTTCTAAATCCACGGATTGGGGAGGACCTCCTCCCCTTTTGTCTGGCCCTGTTTTATCAGATATCTTCAGGGCTGGCTGCAAAGTCCTCCTCTGTGGCCTAGCAGGACTGGTCCACCCTTGGGGGGTGAGGAGGTCAAAGAGCCTGCCATTGAGTTCCTGTCAGAGATAGTCCCTGTTCCCCTTATTATGGGAAACCAATTGGTTATTGAGCTACCACGAGCTTTGTGTAAGTAAAGGTTCTAGTTTATATCCATACATGGTCCTTGGTTGGAGAAACAGTTTCAGAAAAAAAAAACCTGTGCCCAGATATATTTGGTCCTTGTGGGGCTCCTATCCTTTCCCCATCATACTAACTCCCCTTCTGCCGAAGGTTTGGTTATGAGTCTTAGTATCTGTTTTGAAATGCTGCTTGGTAGGGTTTTTCAGATGCCTTCTGCGGTAGACTCCTGTCATATGTCCAATGCACATCTCATTTGTCTTTCTAAGTGAGGATTGATCATCTTATCTTGTGTCTGCTTTCTTGTTTATCTTCTTTAGGTGTATAGACTTCATTATGTTTATCATATCTTATAGGTATATATAAGCAAGTATATACCATGTTTGTCTTTCTCCTTCTGGGATACTTCACTCAGAATGATCTTTTCTAGATCCCACCATTTGCCTGCAAATTTCATGATTTCCTCCTTTTTGATTGCTGAGTAGTATTCCATTGTGTAAAAATACCACAATTCCTGTATCCATTCCTCTGTTAATGGACATCTGGGTTGTTTCCAGGTTCTGGCTATTATGAATAAAGCTGCTACAAACATGCAGAGGTCATGGGTTCAATTCCCAGCAACCACATGATGGCTCACAACTATCTAAAATGAAATCTGGTGCCCTCTTCTGGCGTGCAGGTGTACATTCGAACACACATTGTATACATAATAAATAAATAAATCTTTAAAAAATTTAAAAAAAGAAAATAGGGTTTTTTTTTACATATAATATCTTTTGATTACAGTTTGCCCTTTCTCTACTACTCCTACTCCCTCCTTTTCTCCCTTCCCATCTAGATCCACTCCCTGTCTCTCCTTAGAAAAGAGGCTTCCAAGACATAATAACAATACATAACAAAATAGAATACAATAAGATAAAACAAATATCACATTGAAGATGGACAAGGCAAACTAAAAGAAGGAAAAGAACCACAAGAGAAGGCCTAAGAACCAGAGACCCACTTGTTCACATCCTCAGGACTCTGGCAAATCAGCTCTTACTAAATATAGAAGAATCAAAATCATCTCTTGTATCATATCAGATCATACTTCAAAAAAAAAAACCCCAGAAGTTAAGAGTAATAAAAACTACACATGCCTATGCAGCCTAAACATTGTACTTTGATTGCACAATGTGAGTGAGTCATTGAAGAAATCAGAGAGGAAAGAGATTTATGTTTCCAGAATGCAATGGAGAATGGGATGTTGTCTTTCAGGATGTAAAATATGAAAGAGAATTCCCTTACTGACTACTCTTTCCTAGGCTATTCTTAATTATTTCTCTCATTGAAAAATAATGAGATCAGATATCAGAAATGTGCCATGAGCAAATGAGATCTGTATTAAAGATAAAATGATATACAACAAATATTTATATACAATGTTTATAATAAATAATAGAAAAGGGGATGTAATTATAACTAGCTTCAAATAAATACAGAATATCTTTATAAATTACTATGAAAATGTATATGAATAATTTCTCTTGGCATCTTCCCTGCAAAACACTGTAACTCATATGAATGAATCCTGAGAATGTGCAGCTGTAGATGAATGCATACTCTATGATCTCATTTCCATAAAAAATTAAAAGACATAAGCTAAACACTTCATTTTTAGAGACAGTCATATATGCAGTAATATTATAACGAAGTTCAAGAAGTTGGGGAAAGAGAAAAGAATATTGACAAGTGAGGCTTCCAATGGTCTGTTTCTTCAGCTACCTCGGGTATATTTGCTATAAGTAAACCTTTATACATATTGAATACTTATTTTGAACCACAGGTGCAAAAAGTGGATTCTGAAGCAATTTCTTGGATGTTCTAGATACAATAGAAACACCACAACAATAACAATTATTTGTTTTCTACAACCCTTTTCCTTCATTAAAATCTCAGAACAACCTTGTTAAAGCTATATATAAATCAAAATAAAATAAAGTGTTACTGAAAAGGTAAATCACTATATCAAGTAATGTAAATAGAATAGACCTGTCTCATACAGTAATTTATTAATATTTTTTCCCTCCTAGATATAGTGGGAGTTTTGGTTTCTTTAAAAAATCAGTTATGTTATATAAACAGGTTTTTGTTTTAATCCAAGTGTGGGATATGGGACTGCCTTAGTTTTTCCACAGCTAATAATTGCCTCATGTGACCTAAAGAGGGGCATGGTCTTTGCTAGCTACAGATAGTGGAATTCTGAGGCTCTGAGAGGAGATAAATACAAGATCCAAGAGAGGGAGTTTGGGGGAGATACACAGGAGGAAGGCTGCTTGTTTGTTCTGCTGCTGTCACTGCTATACTACTTGACATACTGGTATTTTCCCAAAGAACCCAAAGGCCCTAACTAGCTGAAACTAAGTCTAGAGAGGTCTACGTCTCCTTCCCCTTCTAACCTTCTTTCTCTTCTACCTAGGGTTGGAGAGTTGGAAGGGGAGTAGAGGCTTTAGGAACCCCAAATAAGGTAGAGTTTAAGAAACAGCAACTACACCTAGATAACATTCTTGTTCAAATAAAAAAAATTGCCTTACCCCATCTTTAGCCTTTCTGTTTCTCTCTCTCTCTCTCTCTCTCTCTCTCTCTATATATATATATATATATATATATATATATATATATATCTCACATTTTCTCTTTCTCTTCCTCCTCCTCTTCTTCATCATGCTGAGATTAGAAGCATGTAGTACCACCCAGAATTCTTGCTTATTTTTCTATAAAGTTCATTACTTCCCTGTAAATTTTCCCCACCATCAAAATCTGTCTAACTCATTCAGTAAGTTGAGCTCACTGTCTGCATGGCTGGCTTATGTCTGCTGAGCCTACAACAGCTCCATTCTGTCTGGCTATCTTCTGGGGGTCTTCCTTTAATAAGGAAGCCACATCTCTCTCTTGTTTGAGAAGACACATTCTTTAGCAGTTCTTCAGGCAAAATACTTGGGAACAAATCATTTTAAACTTTTAAAATTTACTTATTGTACAGCGTGGTGCCTTTGTGTGTGTGTGTGTGTGTACATGTGCATGCCTTGGCATATGCATAAAGATCAGTGGACAGCTTCTGTGAGTCAGTCTTTATTTCCACTGACCCATTGTGAGTTCCAGAGATGGAATTCAAGTCATTGGGCTTATATATCAAGTGCTTTTACACACTGTGCCATCTTGCCAGCTCTGAACAGAAACGTCCTTGAATGGGCTCATTCTACTTTTATTAACTGATAAAGTATGTGGGTAAGGACTTCTACCATGGAAATATTCTTCCTCTACAAAGTATTGCTCCAATGGCCTCTGATACACTTTCTTGCAGTGCAGTAGTGCAAAGCTATTGTGGTTCTTCCATCCTTTGAATGGAGTAGTTTTAATTCTGTAGCAGCTTCTAAAAATTTCCACTGCTTTCTTTTACTCCAAAGTGCTGATGCTCTGATTTCAAGCATGAAAATTAGTTTTACCTATTCTTGAACTTCTTATAAATGAACCTATTTATTACATTCTCCTTGTGTCTATCATCTTCAGGACATTCTCAGAATTCATCTAGCTGAATATCAGTAATTTCCTTTTACTGGATAGTATTGAATATATTATCTATTCACTGGTTGATAGAAATTTGGGTTCTTTTTCTGCTTAGAATATTATGAAGTTTGATTCTAGGGCTTGAACGTCATTCTGCAGAGCTCACTTTTAAGTCCCTCAAGAGTCAAAGGCCTTAGAGAACAAAATATAAAAACCAGCAAGAAATACACATTTAATATAACCTTTTATTTTTACAGAAGCACACACATATATTATTAACTATGATTAATTTGAGTATATGTACATAGAAAATTATACCAAGAAGATCTAGGAAAGCAATCTCTAGGGAACATGTTGCAATGTCTAGGAAGGGGTTTTAACTTACGAACTTACGAGGTTTAAGTTTTTTGAAGGTTTAGCACATGCCCCTGGTAATTCTCATGTTGTTTCAAGTTTGAGAAATGCAGTGAACTAAGTACATTTCAAACTTTGTGCTATTACATAATTGTATTAGGGTGCACAGAGGTACTGCAGTTGGGTGAGTCATCAGCTGATACTCTGTGAAATAAGGACACCCTCAAGGATGAGTGTGAGGAGGCTCTGAGTTTGCTATATGTATGCATAACAGTTTCCTCCAAGATTGAAACATTCCATCCTCCAGGCAGGTTCTTTAAGCAGAAAAGTAAACAATTCAAAATAGCTTCAGGAACTTCCTGAAGGTGACCAGATTCACTAGAACCCTCCCTGCCAGTGTAAACAATAAAAGCTGAGAATAAAAGCTGAGAGTCACCCTCAGAGGAACTGCCAACTCCTCTGAATTTTAGGCCAGTTGAAAAGTACCTGGAAAGGACACTCTCCAACCTATGGAGCTTATAGGACAGCCTTACACTGCTCCCATCCCACATACTCTGTATTATACATTGTGTTTTATCTCTTCTTCATCTATGAAACGAGATTGTTGGTTTTGCTTACCTTTTAGGATGAAAACAACACAGATCAAAATGATAACATATTAGAAGCTTGAAGTTTTAAGACAAAGACTCCCAACCAACTCTCTATTTCCATGCTAAGTTCAAGGCCCTACATTTAAATTGAAGTTAATGTTGTAATATTCCCCCTGTTTTGATGTGAGGAAGATGGCTGGTTATTCTTGGAGGAGGCAATAAACCTGCTAGGGAAAGCCACTGACTCAAAGGTGGACGTTCTACCCGTCCTGGTGTGGTAAAACAGGAAGGGCTTCTTTGGCTCAGGATGGTTGTACAAATCCAAAATCTTCTCTTCCTACATGTGAGAGAGAATACTCATGAAAAAAACTAGAAGCTGCTTCTGATAGATGCTGTTATTTTTACACAACCACTAAATATTCCTAAGTTCAAGGAAGCCTATCTTACAACAGGACAAGAAGAAGCCATTTCAGAGGTGAGGAATTAGCTCAGTGGTAGAGAATGCCAAGCAAGTGCAAGTCCCTGGATTCAGTTCCCACTAACCTCCCTCTTCCCCTGAAAATAAAAAAAGGAAGGAATAAAGAAAAGAAATATAAAGGAAAAGAAAGGAAAGGAGTGAAAGAAGGAATGAAAGAAGGCAGGCTTCAAAATCTCCCTGCCTATCACTGTTTCTGCTGCAGTTTTCTCCTTCATTAGTATACACCTTCTAAATTGAGTGTTTTTTACTCCTAATCATAAATACTTGTCAAACTTGCTCACTACTGTCCTGACATTCTGCTCAGAAGAGATTTGCTGACTGTTTAAATTGTGAAAATCTGCCACCTTATTTCTAACTCCCACACTTCTTCAGTCATCCTCACTCTCAGTTTCCAACTCCCTGAGGAAGCTGAAGTGACTAACTTCAAGAACTTCTCCAAATTATCCACTGACTGGGCACAACTCCCAGTGCCGTCCTACCTGAGAAGGACTAGACAATGGCTGCCCTCCACTCACTCATGCAAGGACATTCTTCTAGCCACCCTTCCTGCTCTTGTACGCACCATCCATTTCTGCTTTCTTTTCTCAACAATTCTTATCTGTATATTTGCTTTCATCTTAAAACAAAAACCTTAGAGATGGCACTGAGTGACAGACACATTCTGAGAGAGTACTCATTGGCAGCTTCACTCTTGCATCAACATTGTAAATGCTCTTGCGCAGTCTAAGGCAGTTGCAATGTGGCTGGACAACATGCTCTTAGGAGACCACTGTACATGAAGTCCACTGTTGGCCAAAACATTGTCATGTGTCACATAACTGCATTTTAATGATCCAACTTCTCTGTCAGTTCTTACTTTACAGAAAACCCCTTACGATAGCTGCCAGTATTTGCTGTCGATTTTCTCTCTTTAAACTCCATGTAAGCAATCTTTACTCTTAACACTCTCATTAAGTTTCCCCCCAAATTATACATCATCAATGGCCAATTTCTGAGGACAAAAGTCCAACAGAAGAGTGACTTACAAACATAGGACAGAGCTTGAAATGTAATCACATTTACTCTGTCAACAAATCTTGTTGCTGACACTTAAACTATTTCCAGAATCTACCCCCACCAACTTCAATTCTCACATGCAGCTCACCATAAAACCTCCAGAGGGCTTCCACCCTTGACCCCTGCAATGTCTGATAAAACTAGAGTCCGAGTGATCCATTTTTGACCTAAGTTGTTTTGGGTCACCCTGTTGAAAGCATCCCAGGTCCTCCTTTCACCTGGAGGGAGTGGCCAAGCCCTGGGCGAGGACAGCAAGTCCTTTTCTGGTCTCCGGCACCACTGCCAACCTGTCTTCGCTGGCTCCTGGCCTCACCCTCATCTGCTGACTCAATTCTCTGCTTCCTGCTCTCCCTTTGAATTCCTCCTACCCCACCCCAGTTTCTGCCACTCCCAGGCTCTACCCTGATCTGATTGGCTTTTTACTAAACTTGTTTTGTTTTACTTTGCTTTCTTTTCCCAAGACATATCTTTTGGCATATCACAAATGCACTATTATATTTATCATTTGCATATCTCTCCCCTAGAATCTAGGCTCTAAAAGGTCAGAATTATTTGCTATTCTGTTCAAAGATATCCCATGTACTTAAATGGTGCAACTAAGTTTCTGCACATTTTCTGAGTTAAACTAGATTGAGTTGAGTTAACATAATTAAAGTTTATAGGGTGAAAAAAGATGTTTGTGTGCATATGCTTACATACAAACAAAATTATATCTATGTATACACATTCCTATGCATGTACATAGATACAATTATCTTAAAAGCTTAGGAATTGTAACAGCAAAAATGAACATTTCAGAAAAGGTTAAGGATGGGTCATTTAGCAGATAAGATAAGAAAAAAAACATAATTTTAAACTGGGAACAAGAAATTCTCTTAGAATGCAAGGCCAATAAACAAACAGACAGACAGATAGTGGAAGTGAAAGTGTGACAATTACATAGGATAGTATATAACACCAAGGTGAGGCCTAAGCCTGCCACTGACTAGTGAATAGGAATTCTGAAATGGGAAATTCCGGTGCATCAGGGAGAGGACATATACATGTACACAATGACCAAGCACATCTTAAAATTTAAGCAAGACAAAATTTCTCAACTAGAGAAGGGCAAGATAACATTATTCACGTGTCTATTTTTTACTTTACTTCAGGGGAGGAAGTCTTTTTTTGGCTTATAATACTAAGCTATGGTCTATTACTCTGGTAAGTCAAGGAAGGGACTTGAGGCATTTGTCACATCGTATTCAAGAACATGCTATGTGCTTGCTTGTTCGTGGCTAGATTTCTTCATTGTCCTACAATTCAGGACCACCTGCCTGGAGAATGATACTATCCACAGTGAGCTTGGTCTTCCCACATCAATTAATTTAATTAAGGCAGACTTCTAAAGTACATGCTCATAGTTTAAAAGGAGCTAGAAATAAACATGCTTAGGAAAATAGTTCCTTTGTTAATTCTAAAATTTAACATTCTGCCAATGATCCATGTAAAGATACATGGCTTTTTCTAAAGACCAGAAAGGAATCCAAGAGAGGTGGAAGGAAAGAGGACATATGTGTCATCAAACAGAAAGGAGACTGTTAGATGTGAGGGTAAAAGAGGGAGCTGGGGTGTTGAGAATCTACTAAAACATGCTATGTTAAAAGTGTTACATGAAACCTAATGCTTTACATGCTAACTTAAAAATAAGAAGCATAAGAAAAGAAGCACAGGTGTTTAAAATTTTTATGTTATTTTTCTGAGTCACTGACCTTCAGCTGCAGAGTGGGCTGTCCATCAACTTCCCCACAAAACAGGCATTTTTCTGGATTCTGGATTCCAAAATAAATGGGAATGCCTTTGCCCTGCTCAAGGGACTCTGGGTACTTGCATGCGAGCACAGTGACGGTGACTGTAAGGGTAAGAGCATAATAGTTTTTTTCCGAAGCCAGGAAGACAGAACGCTCTCTAGTTCTGACTTAGCAGAGCAGTGTTTGTTTGCTAAGTGAGTGCAGAAGACACCTGTAGAGTGTCATCCCTGCTGCCCAGACCCAGTGGTCACCCACCTACCCACCCATCTATCCTGATAGGCAAGTACTGTCCTAGCTATTGGGGCAGTCACAGAGTTAAGCCAATGGTAGGATTTAGACTTTCACACCTGTGCTTGAACACCTAGTGGCAGACACTTTTCCTCTAAATGGCTCCTTTGATCCTTGGAGAGCCCTCAGACCATTAGGAAGGGTTGCCTAATGGGATGTTGAAATTTACCTCTCTGTGTCATTCATTCATTTAATTCTTTTAGTACGTCTTGATGTCATATAGAACATACATATTTCCCTTCCAAAGTACATATCAGCTGCTTCATATCAATGAGTACAAGCCCTTTACGCTTAAGAAGGGTCTTCCATCCTAGTGGGTACTTTAGTCTGGGACAGACTTCACTTCCCAGGCAGGTATAAAATTCTGCCTCTTCCAGGTGGCCCCCAGTGAAAGTTAAGCCTGATTTTTGCACATAATTAGACATATTTTGGGGGTTCACAGTATTGATTTGATGCATGTATATGTCATAGCACAACAATGACAAAACCAGAGTAATCAGTATATCTTCATGTCATATATCTAACATTCACTTGTGGTCAAACAGTCCAGAGCTCTCTTCTAACTACTGTTAACTGTGGCCACCCACTGCACAACAGGCTGCTGCCCCTTTCTTTAACACAGTCTATGTAGTGTGGAAAGCAAAGCAGCGACAGATGACCACTGACCTGGGGCTTCAGTATTGCTCCTCGGAACTGTCACAAGGGTCTGACCACTTATAGCCCATACCTGCTGGTTCAAGTCAGAAATCTCCCCATATTGAGGAGTGTTTCTTGCTGCTTGAATGAAAACAAATAATAGGCATGAAGATTAAGTTTCAAAAATAGGAGAAAGATTACCTAAATCCAGGCCCTTTCTGTAATATCTCCAAACTGGCAGCTTTCTTGTAACCCACCAACCCAGACTTTGTAGTAAATCCATGGGAAGCAAAGGCTACCTAGAGTGATTACTGATTTAAGGGAACAAGCCAGCAAGACAGAGTAAAAAGCATTTCCACAGGTCATATGTGCTGAGACCCAGCTGCTCTTGTCTGTGGTTGGCCTGATGCTGGGAACCGTAGCTAGAGCAGTGAGTAGTGGCCTGCATCCTCCAGAAAATGCAGGCACAGTGGCATATGGGCAACTTACTGTGTGCTAAGAGCTATACCTGATTTGGAGACAAGATTCTTGCTTGGGTGTTTAGAGGACATAGCTGAGGATACAAGTAGCAAAGCTCTCTAGTATCCTATCCCCGCATTACCTTCATATATGTTTTCTTCAGTGTTTTCCATAGTTGGCTTGTCATGGTACCTGAGGGAGAAGACCACAGGAAGAAAGATAAAACACAGGTAACACTTCCAAGACTTTCCAAGACCTTGGTTTCTCAGGCTCTTTAGGACAAAGAGCTGAAATTCATAACCAGATGATGCTCTATTTGGAAGAGCTAGGCTAGTTCCTGGAACCAAACCTCAAGGCATTGGAGACAGAAGGGTCAAAAGAATTCTCCTCTATCCAGAAATCCTAATAACATTATCTCCCTACAAGTTTCAAGGCTATAAATAACATTCAGCCTTTAACACTCCATTCCCCAGCCTCTAATTCCTTGTATATATTTTCCCCAGAGGCCCCTTTTTTTTCACTGTCATTTCTTTCTGCCTAAGGCAAAGGGCTAGGGTTCTTCATGCTCGGTAGTTCAGCCAGAATCTCAGAATCCCAAATCAGAAGTGAAAGACAGAGGTTCACACACAGAGCTGGGCTCAGAGACATGGCAAGATGGCTTTGTCTATCCACTGAGGCCTAAAATACAGAAAGCCCTACAGTCAGAGGGCTTTCTATGTATGCATTATACCTGGCAAGAAAGAGTCTTTATGAAAAGTTCAAATCACAGCGTGGGCATCTCCCAGGTGCAGTACTGGATTCCAACACAGCCTGGGTCATTTATCTAGGTGAGTGCAGGAATCTCCAGCCTCTTTTGTGGGGTGTGGCAAATGTACAACCTTGAAAGAAATCCAGTTCCTCCTGCTAGAACCTTGCTCCTGGGAGGTTCAGGTGAAGAAATCTCAGACTCAGCATGAGTGTGACTTGTCTGACCTTCTCTAGAAATGTGGGGAGCCCAGCCCCATTTGTCAGCCATCAGGAAAAAGAGTTAATGACAAAGCTTAGATTTCTCAAAAGGGAGAGACCATATGATTTCCCCAGAGCTCAGCTGACCTCAGTTTGGGTTTTGACTGCAAATTCAGTGAACACAAATGATAGGATGGCTCTTGAAACCTGGACATCCAAAATTCTGCTTCAGCATCTCAATAGTGTCCCTAGTCGATCTCTCCTACTTTCCACCTGGCCTTGGAGAAATATGCTCCTGTGTTCTCATGGGAGAAAGTGTAAAGATGAATTGAGAACCACTCTTATCTAACATCAGGTTTGGTGCCTGTCACCTTTCTTGAGTACCTTCCATTATTTATCAGTCAAAATGTCCTCTTCTTTGGCAGGCTCACCACAAAATAGCATCAAAAAGGTGCCATCTGCCTTTCAAATCCCTTAGTGCTCTGTTTCAATCAGAACCCAATCTGGAAAACAGACTTTACTAAGATTAAATGGAGGGAATCAAAGACAATTGGGCTCACCTCTACAGAAAGCCTCAAGGAGGTTAAAGAATAAAAAGAATTGTATTATTGTAGAGAGTAGCAATTATAAACATGAAAAAAGAAAACAAACAAACAACAACAACAAAACAATAACACAGGAGCTTGGGACTGATGCCTCAGGAAGAAAGAAATCCTGCACCAAACTAATGGCCCATAAGAAGGGTATGCAAAAAGCACACAATTAGTTTCCCAATGCCAAATGGTCAGCCCTAAGAACATACATACATGTAACATTATATGGACTAAATAGGTTATATTTAGGAATATATATGCATATACAATAACAATTAGTAAAAAAAAAAAAAAGAGAGAGAGAGAGACCAAGAATTTAAATAAGAGCAGGAAGGGATATATAGGATGCTTAGAGAGAGCAAAGGGAAGAGAGAAGTGTTGTAATTACGATCTCAAAAACAAAAAAGTTAAATATGCAATCTGGTGGGTGCATGGATCATAGAGATGGAAGGGAAGGATCGGCTCACAAATGCTCAGAGGGCCCGAAGAGCGCAACTCAGAGGGAAATATTTTCATGCACTTAAAAGCCTCTAAATATAGCCTGAATTCTCCATGGCTTAAAGAAAATTGTAAAAAGCTGTGTGCTTTGGTGATGGGAGCTTTTTGCTCCCCTTGTTTCTGACAGCTTTCTAGCATTTAGAGAATGCAGCCCTTCCCGAAGTTGCTATCTTCAAGTCACTAATTTAAAGTTTAGTGTGGATCTCAAAGGTTAGAGAAAATAGAGGAAATGGGAATGTGTAATCTGTATTTCTGGTATTATAAAAATATTTCAAGCTGGGGATATGAAGGGTAGAAAAAGAACAAATCAGCAGTGAGAGTAATCATATGGTGAGCTAGGAAGCCAAAAGGAAGGAGGAGTCAATTTGACTCTTACAACTTTTTCTCAGGTTAACTAACTGGGGTCCCACAAGAACTATCCTAATCTATGTTAATTATGTTGTATTAACATAATATTATGTTAATATAAAAAATGTTATATTAGCTATCTTAATCTCCCCTGAGGCTGGGATGCCCAATGACATAATCCCTTTCTCTAGACTCACCTTATACAGTCTAATTAGCTCTCAAGGTGACCACATAGAGGACCAGTATTCCAATACATGAATATGGCTATACTCAAGCCATATCCAAATCACAGCAGGAGTGAGATGATAAAGGGGAGATGCAGGTTGGTCTTTGAAGAACATAGAACTCAGCTCCTGAGGAAGTTGTCCAGAATTCTTTTTTTTTTGGGGGGGGCTCTATTACTCACCTATTAGGCTGAGTTCAGGGTGCACTGTGAAATGTGAAATTGGAGCATTTTCCCCAGTCTCCACTCAAGGATTTCGAATGCAAAGTCCTCTACTGGAGACCAGAGAGGAGACTTTTCTTCTTCAGTTAATGGTGAAACAGTGACCTGAACACAGTAAAGTTTGCATACATCCATGTAGACAACAGGGTCTGTCTTTTATTAAAGTTCTTTGCATACTGGCTGCATTGTCCCTCTGGAACTGAGAATTCCTTGAGAGAAGAGATTATTTCTTACTCATCTTTGCATTCCTTGCCATTCCTAGCCTGCAGCAGGTGCTTTGAAAGGTTTTGCCAAATTAACTTAGAAAAGGAAAGCAGAGGGCAGTCTAGAATTGGATCACACCCCAACACACCTGCTTCTATGTCTGTATGATATATGTTTTCAGTGTTATGATTAAGGGCTTATTTTTCTTGTTTATGGTTTTTTCTTTATTAATAACACTTTATTCATTTTGTATCCCCCCTATGGTTCTCTCCCTCCTCCCGTCCCAATCCTTCCCTTCCTCCACCCTCTGCATGCATGCTCCTTCCCAAGTCCACTGATAGGGGAGGGCTTCTTTTCCTTCCTTCTGATCCTAGTCAGTTAGGTCTCATCAGGAGTGGCTGCGTTGTCTTCTTCTGTGGCCTGGTAATGCTGCTTCTTCCTCAGAGTTCTTATCTCAAAATGAAATGGATAAACATTGTGAGTACAAGGTCTCCTTGAGATGATTACCAATATTGATACTAGCTATTGTTAGGCCATGAACATGTTGCTTTAAAATGAGGCCACGTTTAGAGATGTGGCAGCCCTGGGAAAGATCTAGTATATCTCTCTGTAGCCTAGGTTTTAATCCCTCTACAGGTAGTAGCAATGTCAATAACATGGGTCCCCCTCCCACCTCTGCTGCTGTAAGCAAGCACAGCCCTACTGTTCAGCTTAAGGGAGAAGGGCCTTAAGTTATGCTAGAATGTTAGATCACAGATCCTTTAGCTACTAAGCTGTTCTCTCTTTCCTAGAATTCAAGCCACATCCTCTCCTGTTCCCATTCCCCTGTCCCTCCTTCCCTACCTCGTAAACGGATTAGCTAAGTTTTCTGTGGCCTTGCAGTTTTCCTCCTCATTGCCCCTTTGCCACTGTGAGCAAACTCAAATTAGCCTTGAATTATAATTCTACTTTTATCTAGTAGTACTCTCCAGCCTGTGACTCCTGACATGTTGGTCACATAGCATGGAATCTTCCTTCCCACTCTTGGAATCCTAAAAGACAGGAATTCCCTTTGTGTTAAGGAATTGAAAGGTCTGCTTCTCCCTTCAGGGCCTCTTCATGCCTATGACAACAGTGGTGTATGTGTCTAGACACTCAAGAGACTGGAGGAGGATCCCCTTCAGGACCTACATTAGGTTGTCTTCCCTAATGAAGGCTCACTTTCTCACTTCAAACCATGATTATATAACTCCCCTAATAAACACTCACCAGAAAAATAACTCTTGTCAGCTTTCTTTCTATGAGCTGCCATAATATCTATTATTTCTAAGAGCTAAAGACCAAAGAGCAAAACTTTGCTGCGTTAAAGTAATCCGGTCACCAATGCTTCCTACTAATGTTTTAGCATCATATAGAATAGTGACAACAATGGACATTTAGTATAGTTGGAGCTGAATACCAATAAATGCACCTAAGGCTAAATGTCTTCAATATAGAAATAATTTTAAGATTATTAGTCCAGATCATAATTTTAAGATTTGAAGATGCTACTATCCATTGGTTTGTTTGTTGGTGGAGAGAGAGGGAGTTAAGGAGGGTGGTAATTCGTCCTACAGATTTATTCACTTACCAGGCCTAGGACCTTATTAGATTGAGGAAAGGACAAAGGGAACTAGGTAGGGTAAGAGAACTTCAGTAGTATGAGAGTTTCTAGAACACGTTTATAGGTATCCATTTTATAATGTGTATTCATATAATCAGGCTGACAATCAAAACTAAAACATAAGATACCATGCAACAATTAAAGGTCATGTCACGTTCCCCCAATGCTTTTCAACATGAAGAAATGCTATTATAACACTAAAGTCCCAAAATCAAACAGAATTCTACACTTACATGCTTACCAGAGGACCAAATCCACCATTGCTTATAACCTGCCAAGTGCAATCTATAAACACTAGCATCTGGTCGGGAGATGTGGCTGGAAAGAAACTGGCATGTAGCCTTAACAGGGTACCAGGGTAGACCATGAGTCACAGAGACCACCATGGGTTCACTTATACTTTAATAGGCTTGAGGAGTGCCAAGGAAGTTCCTGGGGCAGCCCCTGCAGACAGAATAATAGGATGGACATGTTTAAAATTTTCTGTTCTGTCAAGCTGCCCAACCCTGTGGTCTGA